TTTGCCGCTGAGCTAAATCCCCAGCCCCTAGAATTCATTCTTTGATTTGGGAACAAGAAATCAGTGTCTCAGACACCTAGTAAGATGGAAGTTATAATACTGCCCTTATGTCATTTGGAGGTCCTATCTCATTCCTGTATCACAGTGATTATAGTTGCATTGACTTGTATCAGTGGCAATTTCTTAACTTAGAGATAGATGCTTTGGTTGTGAAAAATGGCAAATGTAGGGAAAGCTGAATGAAGGATATCTGGAAACTTTCTGTACTTTTAAAAAATCTTTTATAAGCCTAACATTATCTCAGATTAAAAATACCTTAAAAGGAAAGAAAAGGAGAGTGAAAAAACTGTGGTTTTATTTTCTCCGCTAGAAAGTAAAGAGAAAGAAGACAACCAATTATTCTTTATAGACAGGAATAGTTACGTGACATCGTGGAGAAACAGGATAAAGTAAGGTCACTGTGGAAGACATTCAACACAGCAGCACCCACTTTGCTTTATTTTCTTTTAATATATAGATGGGTGTGTAGGTATAGCTTATTTCAAAATCGATTTTAAGATACTCTGCTTTTTACTTTTCGCTGTCTAGCTCAGATTTTAAACATTCTCAGTGCATGTTTGTTTTGGTTGAGAAGGATAACCAAGTACCTTGTGCTGGGCTTAGGTCTCACAATTTTTTTCAGGGTGCTAAATATCCACTTTGTAGATACTGAAGTTGCAGACTTAATATAATGTCAGAGCTTACATTTTTAAATGTAAACCCAGGAATTTTTTTTTACTACCAATTTATAATTTCTTTCAGTATTAGAGAGCATACTCTTTTTTTTTTCAGAACATACTATTAAAGATAATTGTATGATGTGTTTTCTAGAGACAAGAAAAATGTTTCATTTCTCCGCATTCAGTTATGCTGTGTTCATGTTACTGAATTGAGGACTGAATGGAATATGTGAGGTTTTACGTTTACAGGTATATTTTTGAGAGGCCAAAAAAAAGTGCAGATGATACTGATGTTCATACAAAGAAATTCTCATTCTGCTATCATTTCTTACAGATATGTTTTTTTTCCTTGAAATCTGAACACAATTTTTCACCATTCTCACAGGTATTTTTCAGGTGTGTTCTGGTCTGCCTTTAGCTCATCTGTAACAGCTGGATCTGACTCTACCTACCTCTTCCTTGATCTGGAAAGGTGTAGTTCAGGCTTCTACCTGTCCTTCCATGGCGCAAGCTCTGGGAGCACACATCTCTGTGCTGAGCGGCTCTGAACAGCACTCCTCAGAGCCAACCACAGTAGTTTCCTTTCAAAATGCTTTTAGCAACCAGTTACGCATTCTTTCTCTCAGCTAAAAAGGATTCAAAGCAACAACAAAAGCAGTGCTTTTTCTTTTATGCTTTTTATTGAGGTTTATTTTATTCATGTCTGCTTATGCATTTACTGTATGTCAACAGTGTCTCATATAAAACAAGGCTAATCAGAAGGCACTTCTGTCATTATCTGCCTGGTCCATGCTTTGGAGATTTCTTTTAATAAGCATCACCTCCGAATAATCTGAAAAATAACCACCAATTTGAAGACATGGTCAGAAAAGACAGGTAAACCTTCATCATCCGCTTGCCTTCTGTGACCTCGGTCCTCTGTGCTTAGCAGTGAGGATGTACTGATGCTTCACACTTGTGCACATCTGTATTATTACTTTATAGTCATATTGGTCTTGACTCAAACGGCATAGTCTAGTTTGATTGCTGACCTTATTCACTGCATACTAATATAAAATTACTTTCTATTGATAATTACAGTAAGGCAATGAATTTTAAGGAAGTGGTCTCTGAGCTCAAAGTTCTTATAATCTAGAAGTGGAAGTAGTGTAACTAATGCAGAATCCTTTTCAACAACCTAGATATGTCTATTTTGAAGATATTCAAAAGTTTGAGTACGACTTTTAATGTTCCATAACCATAGTTAATAACGTATTGCATTTTTTTTTTGGTCTTTTTGAGACAGGTTCTCTCTATGCAGTTTAGGCTGGCCTTGAGCTCATTTTGTAGCCCAGGCTGGTCTTAAACTTATAAGGATCCTCCTGCCACAGCCTCCTGAGTGCTGGAATTACAGCCTCCTGAGTGCTGGCTGGGCGTGCACCACCACGCCCGGCCGTTTTGTACTGCATAGTTCAAAACTGCTAAAAGATTAGATTTTAAACCTTCTCATCACAAAAAAGTGAGTGGTGATAATGCATTAATTAGCTTGACTTAACTGTCCCACAGTCTATATTTGCTTGCTTGTTTCGCAGTATTGGGGATTGAACTCAGGGAGAGTGGTTTTAGCACTGAGCTACATCCCAAGCTCTTTTCTATTTTTCAGACAGGGTCCCACTAAGTTGCTAACTTGCCTGAACAACTTGTGATCTTTCTGCCTCAGCCTTCCAGTGTGCTGAGATTACAGGCATGTGGTATTTCCGTCTCAACCAGGTGTGTACGTATGTCAAAACATCACACTATCACACTGTACCCATGAATATGTACAGTTGTTGTTTTTTAAAAAGTATGAGATGTGGGCTGTTAGTGAGTATGTCATGTGGAGAGATATTCTGGTATTTCAATATCAAGAGATTTTAAAAATATGCACCCTTTTTTTCTAGAAATTCTATTTCTAGGAATCATACCCACTGAAATAAATAGATGGGTATTAAAGTACAAGGGCACTTATCACAGTGCTGTTTATAAAAGCAAACTATGTAAAATATTAGATAGCCCAGCAATAGGCTATTATACATCTGGGGAACACCACGAAGTCTTTAATATTGTAATGAGAATAGTATTTAGTAAGAAGGGAACTATTTATAATATACTAATTGAAAAAAATCACACAAAAATGTGTAAATGTAGGTAAACAAAAAATTAACCAGAGTATATAACTCAAACTCTTTTGCTATCTCTGTGTAGTGTGATCAGCATTAATTCTGTGTGCATTTTTGTATTTTAAAAAATAAATGTGTGTATTTATAACTTAAAAAAATAGTTACATAGTCATATAGGGTGGCCTATGCCTGTAATCTCAGCATTTTAGGAGGCTGAATCAGGAGGATAGCAAGTTTCAGCCCACCATGGGCAACTTAGCCATTTAGTGAGACATTGTTTGAAAATAAAAGTATGAAAAAGGGCTAAGGAGGTAGCTCCGTGTGAAGGCTTTGCTTCCAATCCCTAGTGTCACACACGCATGCAAAAGTTACAAATATTTTTTAATTTGTCAATTTTTTTCAGTAAGTGTTTGAGGTACATCATGGTTACATTTTTCGTGTAACATGTACATTTCGTGTACATTTTTCATGGTGGCATAGGCCACCCTATATGACTATGTAACTATTTTTTTAAGTTATAAATACACACATTTATTTTTTAAAATACAAAAATGCACACAGAATTAATGCTGATCACAGTACACAGAGATAGCAAAAGAGAGTTTGAGTTAAATACTCTGGTTAATTTTTTGTTTACCTACATTTACATATTTTCATGGTTACATTTTTCGTGTAACATGTACATTTCGTGTAACATGTACATTTCGTGTACATTTTTCATGGTTGCATTTACTTATTTTTTACTTCCCTTTTTTCTCCCCTCCCTTCTGCCTTCCTCCATGTCTTGGTCCCTTTCCCATTTGCAAAAGATCTAGCTCCCTGTGTTCTATCATCCATCTTGTGTTTTGCTCTTTAAATTATTCACACTTTGGGTTTGTCATATAAGAGAGGTCATGTGATATTTAAACTAATGTCTGACTTTTTAAAGTGATTTGACTTTTGAAGGTGATTACTACAGAGACACTTTTAAAATGCTTTGAACATGTTTGCGCTCTATAAAAAGCTTCCTGAGATGATTACTTTAGATTATCTGTATATCTCACCCTCCAAATGGGTTATCTACACAAATGTACTTTACACTTTTAGAAAAATTTAGGAAACATTTTCCCAAAGAAAACAGCTATGCAAATGACCTATAAAGAAACAGCTAGGCGCTCACTCTCTCTACACTTCCCTGCTACTGGCTGTGAAGAATACAAGGGGAACGAGAAACTGTCATGCTGTCTGGGTAGGTGACTCACCCAAGGTCATCCACTTATTCAGCGGCAGAGCCAGGAATTGTCAGACGAGACCTGTTTGCATGCCAAGGATGTGTAAATGCCGTTGTTGACTCAGACTCTTCCACACATCTCAGCACATGCGCATCAAGCATCTCTTCCATGCGTCAACTCCAGGAGACGTATGGAAGCGCTACTGGCCATCAGCAAGCAGGTCTCCTCCCAGAGTGCACTGTTCCCTGAGGCCCGGCCCCGCCTGCCCCTGGCCTCATTCTCTTTTTTCTTTTAGTTTTTATTTTTACTAAGGTTAATCATATGATTCTAAAGACTTTACAAGCTTTGCCATGAAACACAGCATGGCTCCCGCCCTCCCCAACATCTTGTCTGTTCTAGCAGTAGTCACTTTCCTCACTTTTACCTCAGTGTCATAACTCCAAACAGCCGTCCTCTTGCTCCTTCTTGGTTTTCCAGTTTCTAACATTATTAATGACTTCGGGCCGAGGGAGATGAGATCATCTGCAACACCGTTCCCTGCTCTTTCCGTCCCCTCTTCACGTAGGCAGTCTTCTCATTCCCTTTCCGCCAGGAGAGCTGCATTGGAGTTTTTGTTATGTTAATGTTACACAGCAGTGCATTATTATGTCTGTGTCAAGTACGGAAAGAGTAGAGAAATTAGTAAAGTGTGAGCGCTGGTACTTTCCTGAGCATTTTGTTTCCCTTGCAGTTAAAATTATTTTCACCCTCTGCCTTTCTCCTCTGTTCAGTCATAGTTTAACTTCTCGCTCGTCAGTCATTTTCTAAATCTTCTCTCAAGAGTCCTTCTGAGGACTCATCTACTGAGTTCTTTCCTTTTCATCTGTGATATTTTTAATTTGTAAAGCACGTGTTTTTGTCTGAACATTTCTTTAGTATAATACTCTGTTCTTGTTTTATTCTCTGTAGATGTTGGTGGTTTATTGTTTTTATTTTTAGGTTTTAATTTTTCTGCATAGTCTGTGTTTCCTCCAAGTTGCTTTCAATCTATTGTGTGGGTCTCTGTTTCTCAAATTACATGCTGGCTTCTAATGGTCAACAATCTTATCTAATAATTATAGGTCACCTTCTCACATTTTATATTATATATAGTTAGACATGTATATATATTAATGCTTTCTCACATTTGAAATATATTATCTGGTCATATTTTGTAGTCTTGCCTTTTTCTTTTTTTCTTTTTTGAAATAGGGCCTCGCTATGTAGCCCAGGCTGGCCTTGAACTCAAGGTAATCTTGCCTCACGCTCTCAAGTACTGGGATTACAGGCAGGCACTACCATGCCTGGCTTGTAATATTTTAATAGCTCACTGATCACTTGAAGTATATGAACAGACATTATAGATTATGAATTTTTGTGATTGATTAGATTGGGGTATTTACTTGAAAGGCTTTTGACATCTTCAGAATTTTCCTCTTGGGTTGATATCATTTTCCAGAGTCCTTCAATCTCTTCTCCCCTGTATGATAAGGGTCTGGCTACCAGTATGTACAGAACTGAGTGGGGGAAAATGGCTCAATTCAATTCATTTAATCTTCCAGTTTTCAAAATAGTTTCCACACCTTCAATTTTGTCTTTTTACACTTAGACCAGAAATACACTTTAGAAAATAGACCTCCAGTCTTCAGTGAACATTGCTGAGGTTAATTCAGAAATTTTATAGATCAGAATTTGTCCAAGATTGTCTGTCTATAGTTCTGGCACATTTTGGGGAAAAGTATGCTTTTAGAATTCCCAGGGGCAAATAATAGTTTAATAAAAGCAGTATAAAAATTTAGAGCATAAAACATGCATTTCAATTGTAATGGTTTCTTTTCCAAACACCCAGTGTGTGAGCAGCCTGGTACGCTTTAGATGGAAACAGTGAAGTGTACTGCGGACCTTGCTTTGTGGCACTATGCGTCTCTGAGCCTTGCGTCCCCTTGGAAGAAGGCAGGGTGTTATGACGTGTCTCTCAAGAGCAGCAGCCACGCTCAGTGGTCTGCACTGCACTACACTCCTGCCTCATCACAGTGGCACCTTGCAATGTCTTTCCAGACTACCTGTCTGAGTTCAGGTGAACTTTCAGTGTAAAAATAAATATTTGCTTTTGATACTAAAACTAAAATTTAATCCCTGGCATTTTTCTATAGTGGAAGAGTCCCTAAAGCATTCTGTCCAACAGAACATAACCTTTCCTAGAGTCCTATTTGAAAAGCAAAGGCATCAAAGAATTGAATGAAAAACATTCCTTTTCAACCACAGTACTATAATAGGACTTCTTTCATGTTTTTGAAAGATTTTAATCTCTACCTAAGCTTGAGTATTATATTATTTCTGATGGCATTTGGTGTTTAAAAAAGGTCTTGTTAATAAAATTTAGGCCACCTTCGGGCTGATTCACTGGGAATGATAACTCATCCATCAGGCTTTCTAATATTTTTCCTGTAAATTAACTTTGGAGCCTCGGAACATATGAAATAATCAAATCATTGTTATTTGAAATAGATACAGTGTGTCACAATGCAGTTTGGTTTATAATGCAAGCTCATTACCATATTCATTACTGTGAATTATAGGAGGTTCCTGGCTGGCCTTCATTAACCATCTGGCTTTAAACACTGATTTGTGGTTAAGTATGTTATTTTTAGAGAAGAGCACCTGAAGATCTACTGAAAACATTTGTCTCATCTTGTTCTACATATTTTTAAAGGCCATGAATCTCACGGTTGTAAAAAAAAATCTTGCAGATTTTAGTGTATCCCCATCTTTAACTTTTTGATTTATGTATTATTTATCTAAAGGAAATCAGCTGTGCCACCATGTCTTGATCCCATTAGCTGTTATTCCTTAAGAAATTTCCCTAGGAGAAGAAGATAGGAGACAGCTCTAATTCTGTAGATTTTCACCAAAGTGATAAAAAATTCTATATACTTTCAGAATTGAATGCTGAGACACGTCAAGCTCAATGAGAGGATATTAAAATATTCATTAATAGAGTCAACAAATATTTCCTGAGCATGTTTTACAGTATAGAGAATATTCTAGGTATAGAGATGATGGGGAAATAATAGTGACTAGCAAATGCCCTGCTGGACAACAAACAGAAGAAAAGGCAAATAATCAAGCCAGGAGGCCTCGGCACCTACAGTTAATGCCCATTGACAGGGAGGTGATGGAGTCAGAAGTGGTGATAAGGAGCAGATTCTATTAGAGTCATTATGAGACATTCTGATTAAATTTTCATTTTGATTTATACTTTTAAAACATTATGGGTATTAGGTGGAAAAACAACTCTAAGAAGGCAAAAGTTGAAAGATAGAGACCATTAATAAGAGAGCTAGAGTAGTCAACATGACAGATAAAGAGCATCCGGACTAAGACAATGGCAGAAGAAATGGAGAGAAATAGATAGAGGTGCATTTCTGGAGATCTAACTAATATGGGATGCTGATGCACTGACTACAAATAATCAGGGAATGGTAGTAAATAAGGATAAGTTTTTGGTGGTCAGGGTGTATGGTAGGCAAGTGCTCTACCACTAAGTTATGACCCTAGCTCAATTTTAAGGATTTAGGATTAAAGACAGTGATACTATTTATTGAAATGAATAATTCTGCTCAAGTAATAGATTGGTGTGTTAGGAGTTTGTTTTTTGACACAATAAATCTGAGGTGTCCATTCGCTTTTAAAATGTAAAGAGCAAATAAGAATTCGAGTTGAATAAGAATTGGATGTATAAATGGGTCTAAATAAAGGTCATGTGAGGAAAGAATTAGACCAAGAAAAGAAGGCTCAAAATTAGCATTGCACTAGTGATGTTCCGGGAAGAAAAAGAGAATTCATACTAGTTAGAAGTACAGGGAATTTATACAGGTGCTGGAAAGGTGAAAGAACAAAATGAGGATGCTGAGATAAGCCTGACAGCAACAGTAGCAGGACTCAGCTACCACCTACAAGCATGGAGGAAGGCCCATGTAACAAGATACGTGTGTGGGGATGTGCGTGTGCCTAGAGAACTAGGGTTTGAGCCTCCTGGAGAAAACCCACGAAGCTGGTGTTTGTACATTCTAGGCAGTTCATGGCCTAGAGGGTTCTCCCCAGACTCAGGAGAAGTAAGGAGCTCAGTTGCTAAAGGAATTGTACAGGTGCAGCAGGACTTAAAGAGCAACACCCTCGGACTCCCCTCTGCCCTTGTAACTATAACTCCTTTTTCTTGGATTCTGCAACACGGATGTTAGAAGGCTGAAAGTGCAGGAGGATGCTGAAATAATCCTAAGAGCAGAGACAATAGGAAGCAACTATCACCTTCAAGCCTCAGAATATGGGGAAAGGAGCAGACACGGGAAGGTGTGAGGCAAAGGAATATGGTGTGGCCCAGACCCTACCTGTGCTCAGACGGGGGAGAATGTGATGGGGATGGAAGTTGCAGCCAACTGTGAGCTGCTACTTGAGAGTCTTTTGTTAGAAACCAGAAAACAGGAAGTGCAGCGGTCCCATTCTTTTGGCTCCTGGTATTTGCCTGGTTTCCATTGGTAGAACCTCACAGGAGCCTGCCTGGCAGGGGAGACTGGGGAAGGAAATTTAAGTAGTCCCAGCACACACAGTGCAGCAGCATATAGAAGGAGAGCTAGGAACTAAGAAATGGTTTTTAAATATTTCCTGATCTTTACTGTGAGAGAGCAGCTCTGTTTTCAAGGTAGGTATGCTGTTGTTATATGCATGTGAAATGAAAGCTACTGAGAGGCAGTATGCTACGGCTCCACAAGGGAAAAGCCACACCTCCTTGCATATGGAGCAGGTCGGACATGGGCACAACCTATTTTCTTTCTCAGGCTGTTGCCAGAACATGAATTTCCTTCCTGCTCCCACCATGGAAGAACCAGCTTAGTAATCCTCTTAGTAACTTTCTAGAAGAATATTTTGTACATCAAGGTACAGGTAACATATTTCTTTATTCACGTATTCATTTAATATTTATGGAATGTTCTCTATTTGTTCCCTGTTTGACATGATTCAAAATATTAAAGACAGAGGGATAATCACTGTAAAATCCCTGTCCTTACTGACCTTAAATACTAGGAGGTTGGAGTATGTGCAGAGGGAAGAGTTAGTGGTAAGTGTATAAACAAGTTTTAAAATGACATATTCCCAAGTAGTGCTAAATACTGAGAAGAAAGTCAAGCAGGTTGCTCAGTATGAGGGATAGGGTGGGAGCCCTTTAGCTATGATAGACTCTTTCACACACATATTAATAAGAGCAGTTTCTGCAAAACAGGCTGATTTTTTGAATATGATAAAGCTGTTACTGGCTTCAAGGCCTCTCTGAAGAGGCAGAATTTTCATAGAGAACGGAAAGGTAAGCAGAGACAGGTAGGTAAAAATCAGGAAATCATTCCAGGCAGAAGTGGTGGCAAGTACAAAGGACCCGAGGCTGAAATGAGCTTGGCATATCCGTGAGAGAGAAAAGACAGATTCGCTGGAGGACAGTAAATGAGAAAAGAGAGGCAGAATATTTGTATATTGTACTGCATCTAATTTTTTGATTTAACAAAATACCTCAGGAATAAGTCCATATTAGAACCTGCCTATTATATGGGCTGAATGTTTGGGTCATTTCCTCTTCCCCTACTGTCTCAGTTACTTTTTTCTCATTGCTGAGGCAAGGTACCTGATGCCCAAAATTAAGAAAAGAAGGGTTTGTTTAGCTCACAGTTTGGGGAGATTTCAGTCTATAATCAGCTGACTCCAAGGCAGAGTGGCACATGGCAGCAGGCAACAGTTCATGGCAGTGGAAGACAGTAAAAGCAGCAAGAGCAAAAGGGGAGGAGCAGCAAGAGCAAGCCTCTTTCCCTCCCTTACACTGTATGCAAACTACCTACCCAGGGCAGGTGTAGCACTCACACCCATAATCCCAGCATTGGACCATGAATCAATCCTAAACTCTAGAAGCCTGCCCCATGACTGCATGAGGTTTTGGGGGGACATCTAGACACAAACCACAACACTTACATTCACATATAGAAACCCTTACTCCTAATATGATAGTATTATATGGTGCAGCCTTTGCAAGGTAATTTGATTTAAATGAGTTCCCAAGAGCAGAGCACCTATGAGGGAATTAGAGTCTTTTTTAAAAAGAGGAGACCACATGAAGATGTAGAGAGAAGGCAGCCGTCAGCAAACCCAGAGGGAGGTGCCCACTAGCATCCAACCACTCTGGCACCTATGCTGGACATTCCGGCTGCCAGACTTTGAGAAATAAATGTCTAAGAGGCCCGGTATAGTTTATTTTGTTACAGAAGACCAAAGTGGCTAAGATACTCTTCCGATCAGTGACTCTATGATATTCAACTATATAAACTCCTAGTTTAAGCAGTTTACTAAGGCCATATTTAAATTATTTGCAATTTCATTCTTACAAACAGTATATTGAGCTGTAATAAGTATCCTTTTTAATATGTTTTTGCACATTAGCATGACTGCATCTGTAAGAAAAGTCATAGAGATGTGCATACAGATTTTGGTGTGGTCACATTACATTCCAGTATATGTTTCCACATAGACTTCCAAAGAATTTGTCAATTCAACTTTCACTAACAAAAGTACTTACTTGTATTCACCCTTCCCTATCTGAAGAGCCATTAAATGATTGGGTCACTCTGCTACATAACAGTGGTATCTCACTATAGGTTTGTCTTTTTTTTTTTTTTTTTAAACTAAAGAGATCTAGTGCATTTTCATGTGTTTAAAATCCATAGGGCCAGTTGTGCTCATGAAAGGCAAATGGTAATTAAGACCTTCATTCTCTTCTACTCTGTAGTAGACCATTGGCTTTGGTACTAGCCTAGAAATTGTCATGGTGACTTTGGTTCTTTCCCTGTGCTCTGGGTTGGGAAGGAGAAACAGAGTATTTTCCAGGAGGAGAAACAAGAGTCTCCCTTCTCCCACCCACTTCGGGTCCTGAAGTATCAGTGCAGAACTGAGAAACATCGCCTTCTTACAAGTGATTTTGAAACAAATTCAAATGTGATCATAGAGGATTCTTTTTGCTGTCTGTATCCCTCATCTGACTTAAACTGTAGAAGTTCTTGTTGGGAATTTGTTCCACCCTTGTACTCGGGGCTGGGAAAACACTGAGAATGTTCTTATGATAACTGAATCCTATGAGGCGATAGCCATGTGTTTCATCAGAAGATCCAAGAATAAGAGTATAATATTTTATAGCACCTGTCTCAAAATCCTTTTACCACATTCCTCTCCCTTTATGGTATTTATTACACATTTAAACAGACACTTACAGTTATGAATAGATATTACAATCTATATTTGGCATGATTTTAGAACATTAATAAATGCACCATTTCCCTCACTGAGAAAAACTAAAAATAACAAAAAATGAAGCAACGATAAAATTAACAGCTCAGGACCCAAAATTCTGGAAACCACACACTCACATGTGCAAAATATTTTTCCATGGTGGAGACTGCCCAGTTGTCAGTGTACACAGCAGGATTGTCTCAGGATTACCTCGATCCAGCCCCCTTTCCCCAGGCTGTACATCTTGTGCGGAGAACCTAGATGGTAGTGGAAAGAACCTTTATAAAAAGATAAAAAGGCATCTCCAGGGTTTTCAAAGGCTTCTTTCAGAAATGGTTTAAATAATTCAAAGGGTTCTGCAACAAGACAGTTACGCTCTGAAATTTAGAGGAATTACTAAGTGTTAATTATATTACAATTCACTCTTCTGAGCTCTCTATTTTGCTCCTTGCCCATGTCTTACCTAATTAATGTTTCTCTTTGAGCTGGGAGAGCAGTAATTTTCTTGGCTGTTTCCTTACTAAGGGAGTCACTATTCTTCCTAAATCTTGAAGCTCTGCATCTTTTCTACTAAGGGAAGCCTAGGAAAAAATATGCAGAGTAAAATATAGGAAGCCTAAATTCCAAAGCATTGTTAAAGTATTGATCAATCTCAGAACTTCTCTGAGGCAGTGCTAAATAATATCTATTTCTACATATGATGACTGTCATTCATTCATTGATCCATCCATCTTTTTGATCATTTGTTCATTTTAAAATATTCGTTAAGCATATTTTGACTACCAGGCACAGAATTAGGGATTATAACTCACAAAAATGAGTAAGATATAGCCCTGAGGCATTTTATTCACAAGAAAGACATAGGTATAATAAGCTTCATTTTATTAGAGTCTGACACTGGCCCCATAAGTAACATAGGGCAGGTGTTTTTTGTTTGTTTTTTTTCACAGAGGTTCATATGTTAGTTAAATAAATTGTCTAATACCTTTTAAAGAGGGAGTGAAGGACCAAAGCAAGCACAAATCCAGTTTTATAATTCCAAATCCACAATCGTTTTACTGCTATGCTACATGGTGCTTATGTCCTTCCTTGAGAAGCTTCTGGAAGCAGCATTGCTGACGTAACTCTTTACTGACCCTTGACATCTGCGTCATGATGCATGAAATATGCTCGTCCATAGACAAATTCACTAAGTGTTCTAAAAACATCTTATTTTCTTTATCAGTTAATAACAGAAAGGCAAGCATATACTATGCCCCAAAGAGTTTTCTTTTAGGGCTGTGATTTTTAACAAGAGCAAACTTTAGAATCCAATTAAGCCCCATGCATAGAGGAATCAGACTCATCCCTCAAAGCAAACTAACACACATTTTCCCACTGATGTTATCTCTGCCACACATTTTCCTTCCCTGCAACAACCCAAATTACTGTGGCCTTCCCTGCAGAGCCAAATTTTAATATACAGCAAACCAAGTTGTGATAAGGTTGAGAAGGAGATAAAACTAGGTATATATCACTGGCATAACAATACAAGCTGACAGATTTCTTAGAAGTGTTTTAGCCAGCGGTAGAATTTAAGCATGAATGGTGGAACGGCCAGGCCTGGACTAGAAGAGAACAAGCCTAGTTACTATAATTGTAAACAAGTAACATCAGTCTTGAGTAGGACTGCACTTCCTCTCCTGTACTTTTTGACCTCTGTGGTATAAATGTTATAACCTAGAACTGGTTAAAAAATGCCTCTACATGCTTGATGTCATTTAAACACACTATTCCAGCCAGATCAGTAACTGTCAATATAAGGACTTTGGGTGCTGAAATTACAGGGAAAAAAATTCTCTCTCTCTCTCTCTCTCTCTCTTTTTCTGTCTCTCTGTCTCTGTCTCTGTCTCTCTCTCTCTTTCTCTCTCTCTCTGCAATCTTAGGAGTTACAAAGCCAGCCACATACAGTTTAACAATAATCATTAATTGGATATTTCAAAATAGCCAGTAGAAAAGATATTTAATCTTTCTGACACATAAGTATGATAAATGTCAGCAATCATAGCTATGCCAGTTATCTGGATCTGATCCTTGCACACTGTAACCAGGTACCAAAATATCATACTGTATCTCATAAATAGTTACAATTACTATGTGTGGATTAAAAATAAAAGTATATATTAAAAAAGAAACCATCTGTTTGAGAGTTAAGACAATGTGGGGATATTTGAGTTAAATACCGGAAGTAAACTGAGCTCTAATTCTTATTCGGATTAGAATCCCTGGACCTAACCATACCTGAAGTGAGTGGTACCTCTGTACTGCTCATGTACTCATGCAAATAAATTTCTATTTTTGTTCTCTGTCTCTTTTTGTTCCCCTTCAAGCCAGTTCAATAGTATTTTGATCACTTGCTACCAAGAATTCAATTTTAGGAAAGCAGCGATCAGCTTTCCTTCTTAGTGCTTTTGTAACTCTGTCCAAAATATTATAGATTATTAGGACAGTGTTGTATCTCTGTGCTTGCAAAATTACAGATTATCTGGAGCAGTGACCATTTAGCCCAATAAATCCTTACTTGTGCAATACACAAAGTTTAGCTTTGCCTCTTTTCTTGAAGTTTAGAGAGCAACTGAAATCTGGTTTTGGGAAACACAGTTTAAAACAATTTAAAAATTTACCATTTAATGAAAGTGAGGTCTACTATGAAATCCTGAGAACAGAGACTGTTCAATACTTGTGAAGTTAATGACATTTTCAGTTGCTATAATAAAATGCAATCTTCTATTTTAAAGATCACCAGCATTTAAAATCATCTAATAAATATGGTATAGTGATTTTATCACAATACTCTCCTCTGTTCCTTATAATCCCTTTTATCTTGCTAGTTTCTCTTGAAAAAACATCTAAAGTTTTAGTCAAATTTCACGTGTATCTAGTTTTATATGGTTTGCTTAATATTTAGAACTGAAAAGGAAGGAATGATGATAATCATTCCAAAAGTAACAGCCTCCAGAGACCTATATCTGAAATCACCAAGGTAGGTGTAGTTTCACAACTGGCTTTTTTCTGTTAATCTACCCCTTCATTCAGCAATAACAACAGATTTTTGAGAAACTGTAGACTTGTACATATAGTTTAGTGAGACACATTTTCACTGTGCAGTATCTAATTGCAGAGAAGAGTTAGAACATTAATTATTAAAGGCCTTCATATTTTCTTTACGTTAAAGTCTCAGTGATATTTTTAATGCTTTGTTTGAGAATGCCCAATCTTCTAAATTAAAGATTGAATTTTGAGGGTAAGCAGTTTAAACTAGTTTGTAAGGCAAATATGTTGGTTTGCTTAGTTTTTCTAGCCTATAAGTGCATACGGTATTTCTAACATTGCACTTCTTCTTTTCTCAGTCAAAAACTCCATGAGGTCAGCATTCACTGTAGCCCACACCTTGGCCCAGGCCTCCCAGGCTATCTTCAGGGCTGGCAGGGGTGTGTTTAGGGTGGCCGGGATGTTCCAAACATCTTCAAGCAGGTTCCAGGACAGGTAGCACTTACCATATCACAGTCTAGGGCTTAGAATTTCTGGATTTTCTTTCAAAGCAGTGGTCTGGGCAGACTGGGTGGCAAGATGGAGATGTGAGCCTACATAATGTTACTTATTCTGATCCCCACTAAGCCAGTCTCCAGTAGCAGCAGGTCATCAGTACCAGGAGCTTTCCTAGTGCTCCAGCACAAAGATAAGCCTTTCCTACAGAAGTAGTATTCTCCCTGTTGACACCTATTTTGGTCTGTGATTTAATCCCCTTCTAGACTTACTCTTGATAATTCTAAAGGCAAAAGTAATTAAATTTCAAGGAATCATTTTCCTTGTGATGTCGTTTTGTTAAAGCAGTGATCCTATTATTAAGGTATGAGAGTAGAGTCTAATTGTACATTTTATTTTGTTTTGAGATGGGGTCTCGCTACATAGTCCAGACTGGTCTTGAAATCACCACGTGGCATAGGTTGGCCTCAAATTTGAGGTGATCCTTCTGCCTCTGCCTCTCAAGTGCTGGGATTACCAGGGTGCACCACTATGCCAGGTGCACTATTTATTTGACCCAGACCTTTGTTTCTACCTGGCCAGAGTCTCACTTTGCTTCTTACTCTTGTGCTTAAAGGAATAAAAATCATGTGGTAGCTGTGCCTGCTTTCTCTTCTTGTTTATCTTTGCCTTTCCCTGTGTCCTAGCTACTCTACACAGTTCCTCTTTTACTGGAACAACTGCTGCTAATTTCTACTAGCTAATCCTAATTACCCACCTGTAAGACAAGTGATTCCTCTGAGCTCTCTCAGTAATTACCATATTATGAATAAAGACAATGAAGTTCAGAGAAGTTGGTTCACTTGCTAGTAAAATAGGGGCAAATTCTGAATTTGTTTATATATTTTCTTCATACTCTGTGGCACCGTTATGTTTGCTCCATTTATAGTTGAATTAGAAAATTAAACTGTGAAGGGATGGACATTTTAAAATTATTTAACATGAATCATCCCCTATGGCCAATTATCCTGCTGTTGAACATTATCAACTGTAAATTAAATGAGTTTGTTCACATTATAATATCTTTCACCCAAAATTGATTTTTTCTATCCAAATTTTTTTAGTAAGAGTCAATCATTTCATATAGCTTTGTAATTTTTAAGAAAATTATGCTACTTTTACATAATGATCTTGTCAAATTTTATTCTCCAGGGAAGAAGAAAATCAGTGATAAATAATATATACGGTTAAGTACAGTTTTCTTGAGATAACTTCTGCTCTTGGTTCAGTATGTGTAAATAAAACTGTCGATGTTCCCACAGTAGGGGCCACGTAGCCAGTAACTACAGTTAGTGCTGGAAGTTGAAACTACTTCTAAGGCTGTCTATATTTTGAACTTTTTCTTACAGTTTGTTTTCTGAAAAGTTCTTACTTGAGTGGATGGAACTCTATTTGAGGGATGTTAGGATAATTTAATCTCACAAATGATGATTATTTTATTCTAAAGTAGAACTTCCATTTCTGTTAGATCAAAGTTATGGTGAAATGCTTTTTCACAAGTATCGGACAGTCATATTTGTATCAGTTTTTGCCAATAACTTTCACTAAGTGCTTCCTTTACTTTCATGTTATGTGTTTATTCAGGTTAATCTTCTAGCCAGTCTGTGAAAGGACAGTGGTACTTATTGACTGATTCACATGATTTGTGCTCAGTGGTGGGTGAGGAGCTGTACTTGATACTGGGGATAAGATA